GTATATGTATATGTATATATATATATATATATGTATATATATGTATATATATGTATATATATGTATATATATGTATATATATGTATATATATATATGCAATTATAAGATAACAGATATAAGTATGAACTTATTTATGAATACATGAAATGGATACATATAAGAAAAATAAAAAGAAACAATAGGCACGTTGGTGCGCTTATGCATGCCCCCTACAGACCTCTTAGGAAAGAGGTGAGGTCAATAGTAGACAGTCTAAGGTTAAAGTTTTTGGGGTTTGGGGAAGAAACCACAGAGTCAGAGTATTCCAGACATTGACCACTCTGTTGCTGAAGTTGTATTTCCTGCAATCAAGTTTGGTGCGGTTTACCTTGAGTTTGTATCTATTGTGTGCTCTTGTATTGTTATGGTTGAAGCTGAAGTATTCATTGACAGGTAGGACATTGCAATGTATGATTTTATGTATTATACTTAGACCAGACCGAAGGCGTCGTAGTTCTAGATTTTCTAGGTCTAAAATTTCAAGTCTAGTGGCGTAAGATATTCTGCAACGAGTAGAGGAGTGGAGAACTCTTGTGAAATATTTCTGGACTTTCTCCACTGTATTAATATCAGATATGTAATGCGGGTTTCAGACTGATGAGCTGTATTCAAGTATTGGTCTAGCAAAAGTTTTGTATGCTCTAGTTAGTAGTGTGATATTACCTGAGAAAAAGCTACGCAGAATTAGGTTAACAACTCTTAATGCCTTTTTGGCTATGTAGTTACAAAGGGCTCTAGCAGTTAGATCATTAGAGATGAGTACTCCAAGGTCCTTGACAGAGTTTGGATCATCAACAAGGACTTGACGATTTAGCTTGTATTTTCTTTTCTGAATTTTTTTTGCCAATATGTAAGGTAGAGCATTTATTTGTTGAGATTTGAAGTTGCCATTTGTTTGACCATTCTGATACATAGTTGAGGTCTTTTTGAAGAGTAGCAGTATTGTCGATGGTGTTGAATAGCTTTACATCATCAGCGAAAAGAACGCAGTTGCTCTTAATATGATCACAGGTCATTTATGTAGAGTATGAAGAGAGTTGGTCCTAGAACACTGCCTTGGGGGACCCCACTATTGACAGGTACAGAATTTGATAGGACGTTCCCAATTTTGACCATTTGTTGTCTGTTTGATAAGAATGCCTCTATCCAGTTATGCGGGTGTCCAGAGATACCATAAGATTTTAGTTTTAGGAATACTTTGTCGTGTACCACTGAATCAAAGGCTTTACAAAGTCTATGTTGATTGTGTCTATTGCTTTGCCCTGATCGAGTTGTGTAGTCCATGTTTTTGCAGTGTAAGAGTTGCAGATTACAGGATAGTTTTTTTCTGAAACCAAATTGCTTATTAGAGAGCAGGTTGTTTGTTTTTAAGTGGAGAATGATGGATTGGTTAATAATTGATGCCATGACTTTACAGGTGATGCAGCATAAAGAGATTGGTCTGTAATTTTCAACTAGGCTTGGGTCTCCCTTTTTGAAGATGGGGATGACTGTGGCTTGTGACCATAGTTTTGGCAAGGAGCTGGTTCTGAAAGATTTTTCAAAGATTATGCTTGGAGGTTCGGCTATGGCAGTGGGTAGCTTTTTTAAGAAGTAGGCACATATTCCGTCCAGTCCAATAGATAGAGATGGTTTTAGATTGCGTAGTGCTTTTTCAACATTGTCTTCTGTAAAATCGATATGTATTAGATCATTGTAGTTGTCTGTGGTTCTACTAGGAAATACTGGGCATGATCCATTGCTGTTACAAATACTGAGCCAAAGAATGTGTTAAAGAGGTTGGCTTTAATGGTGTCATCATTGCAGTCTTTACCATTAGGTCCTTTCAGGGGTGGGATGGACCTTGAGTCTACATCATTCTACATCAGCTCACCTGTTGGCCTCTGAATGTGCTTGATCTCGGATCCCATTAATTTCAGCAGCCCTATCCGGGGTGGGGGTAGGGACGGGGGACACAACAAAGGTGAAATCCAAAACTAAGCAAAAAAAAAAAGTAGGGGGGGGGACAGCAAAGCATTGGGGGTAAGGGTTAACAAACTGCCTTTGTCGTGACTCCCACTTAAAATAAATAAAAGGCGCTGGAGCCCTTTGAGGGTTAAAGGCTATCCAAGGCAAAACAAGCGCTCGCTCTCCCTCTCCATGCAATACGTGCATGGCAACCCCTTTTGTCCTTTAAAACAGAGCAGGAAGAGACACCTGGCCCCGGTACTCGCATCTTGACAGCAAAGAGGAAGTAAAGCACTTTCCCGCCTCTTTGAAGGGAAGAGAGGCGGGGGAGAGAAAGGGGACTGTTCGGCTTAGAATGGTAACTATGGAGACCCACTTCCTTCTCTGGGAGCCACTCTGGCTGTAACGCCTCTCTGGTTTCGCCGGGTCTTCCAGCCCCGCCCCCCTCCCCAGCCCGCTACCCAGAACGCTGCTGAGCTGTAGCCCCTTTCGCGGCTCCTCGCCCGGGGTGAGTTCGGGCCCTGCTTCTTTGGAACGTGGTGGAGGGGGGTGGGGCGGGGGACGGAGGGAGGGAGGAGGGGAAGTTCCTTGCTGCGGAGCACGCGCTCCTGCGCTTCTTCCGCGTGGCTCTTTCAAGAGCGGGGAATGCTTATCCCGGTAAGGAAAGCCTTGCACCGGCGGTGAGTCAGAGGGCGGCCGTCGTTGGGGGAAGGGGCGAGCGGAGAGGTCTTTGGATCGCCGCCGCGGGCGGCTTCGGCCTGGGGTGGGTTTTGTTTTTTAAGAGGCTTTTTAAATAAATATATATATAATTTGCAAACGTTTTTTTCTTTTTTAATCCGTTCTTGCAGTTTGGTGAATGAAGCTACGAAGGGGGAAGAGGACGCTTCCCCCCTTTTCCGATTCTGCCTCGGTGTGCCGTGTGCGTTTTAGGGAGGCTGCAAAAGGAGGAGGGGGAGAAAACGGCGGCGATGTCGGAAGCGTAGCCCTCGCTAGGCTTTTGTTCGGGTAAGAGTTTGGGATCCACCGGGATCGCACCGGGGAATGGGGAGGCTAGGGCGTTGTTTGAAATGTAACTGTTTCTTGCTTGTGGAGTCCGGGTGCGGGGAGCGCCGGAGTGTGAAATGCACAAGAGCAAAGCGCTAGCGGGGAGTTTAGTTTAGCTTGGTTTCGTTTATTCCACTCTCGTAAAAGTTTTGCATTCCGACGACTTGAGGTTCATGATTCCTGCGGACTCTGAACCCACCGTCCCGCAACCGGACGGGCGTCTTTTATTGTTTGAAAACGCCGATAAGCCAACCCCCCCCCCCCCCCCCTTTTTTTTCTTTTTCTTCTTTTCCTTTAAGGAAGCCGAACTATGTTGGGCCTCGGCGCCTCGTTTGCTGCAGGAGCAGCAGCTTTGCTGTGGGAAAAGGTTTTCTTTCTTTTTTTTAAACGCTGTTTGGGGACGGGCACGTGGAGATGGTTTGCGATTGATAAGAGTATTAAAAACGCCATCCGTGGCCCAGAGAGAAATGGCCGGTTTGGAGAATTTGTGGGCAAAAATGATGATAGCTAGCAAAAAAAATTGGCAACTTGAAAAGACAAGGCAAATGTGATTTTATTACCTTACTTATACCTCCGTGGGACAAAGGAGGACTGATTTGGGTAGAATTGAACAAGTTACATATAATTTCAGAGCCTAAAATTATGCCCGTGTAATATCTCTTTTTACCCCTTTATTAGAATGTGAGGAAAGGCCAGCTTCCTCCTCCTCCAGTTATAATTATGATACAGCTGCTCTTTTCAGACAACATGAATGTACCTGCTCAGGATCTGGTGTGGAGGAGGAGGACAAGGGGGAATTGGAGAAGCCTAGCTAAGCTTAACATGCCTTCAATAACCTTTCAGAATAATTGCGGAGTATGATCTATACATATATAGTTTTATGTATATACAGAAAGCGTTACTGCCCTCTTTATGCTCACTTAGTAGCTGTGTAGTCCACTTGACTGAAGATGTATAAAGTTTAGGGTTTTTCCTTTCTCCCCTGTTGCCAAGTGAACATGTCGAAAGCACACACTTATGACAACTTGGTTCGCTCAAAATAGTAATATTATTTGGTGGAATGCACCCCAGTTGTGTCATTGCAAATAAAAGGACTGGAAAGTTTCTATATCCATGTATCATCTGGGCCTATGTGGGAAGCCTAGTGAATGCTCTCAGGTTCCCGATTTATGTCTTCCTCCTTCCATTGATTATATCCCTAGCAGTGCTGTTAGAAGGTGGAGTTCCCCAAAGTGCCAGTTTTCATTCAAGATTGAGAAAAGCAGCACCTGCTAAAATTCCCTCTTCCGTTTCAATATTAAAAGCACCAACAATTATTTACATCTTGTTATATCTCAATCTGCTAGCACTGTCTGCTGAAACAGATCCACTACTGGCTTGAATGCAGATGGAAAGAGTTCCGAATCCATTTCATTATCAAAATAATCGGGATCCTCCCTTGGAGGCGTATAGTCAGGTGAGGTGCAGAAAGAAACTGTCAGGCAGAGAGGAATGGAGGTGCTGTGTGGATGGAACCTTGGGAAATGTTTGCTGACCTCGGCAACTTTAAAATGTGTCTACATTAGCTCCCAGAATTCCCCAGCCAGCTCAGGATTCTGGGAGTTGAAGGCCATACATCTTAAAATTGCTGAGGTTGAAAAACACTGACATAGGAGGAATAAATTGCTTTGGTTTAAAACCAAAAGGATTGTCCACGGGGTACTCAAGGAGCTTGCTATGAGAAGAGATAGACTAGATGTGGCCTTTCTCCTCTTCCTCACTCTTTTAGAACTTCAGTGATTCCAGCAAGGGATTGCCAGGATGGCCATGGGCGTGCAGGAACAATATGAACCTGTGGCTGAAATTGGTATTGGAGCTTATGGCACTGTCTTCAAGGCCCGGGACTTGCAGAGTGGCAAATTTGTGGCTCTCAAAAATGTACGAGTGCAGAACAGTGAGAATGGACTCCCTCTGTCAACAGTCCGAGAGGTGGCCCTGCTGAAACGTTTGGAGCACCTTGACCACCCCAACATCGTGCGGTGAGAGCCTCATCTGTGACTACAAGCCTTCCAGGGGTGGGGTTTAGGTAGAGGTGGGCTGCACTTACGATAACAACTGGTTCGCTGTTTGTGAGCATGTACAGTAGGCGTCGCGTAGAACACAGCTGGGCAGCATGGACGGGGGAAACAAGCTAGAAGGTTAGTTATATAGGGAGAGCATAGCACAGGGGCTGGTGGACAGGCCCAGCCAGTGATCATAGCTACCGGTTTGCCCAAACTGGTCTGACCAGGCAGCAGCCCACCACTGGGTTTTGGGGTTGGTAGATTTGCAGCTGGTGCAGGACTGGAGACCTGGAACTGCAGCCTTTGAGAGTTAATTGTAGTAAAGATTTGGCTCAAATTGCACATTTTGTATCTTTGCAGAGATAATAGTAATTATTTTGCAAATACAAATAGTACAAATGTATTACTGTGGCGTATGCTTTTGTAAAGTTCATCTGATGATGAGTAATTCTCAACCCATATGTGCCATCAAGTCAACACGAGCCGTGGTGGCGCAGTAGTTAGAATGCATTATTTCAGGCTAACTCTGCCCACTGCCAAGAGTTCGATCCTGACCAGCTCAAGGTTGACTCATCCTTCCGAGGTTGGTAAAATGAGGACCCAGAATGTTGGGGGCAATATGCTGACTCTGTAAACGACTTAGAAAGGGCTGTAAAGCACTATGAAGTGGTATATAAATCTAAGCGCTATTGCTATACATATACACACATAAACACACACATATATAGAATATGTGCCTGTGTGTGTAGTTGGCTTTAAATGGTATAATACAGCCATAAACCCCATTCTTTGGACAGTTCAGTTAATGTTTCCATGTATGCAAAAGAACAGAAGTTGATGTTCACCATTTAAGTAAATTAATACTAACAGGGGGACCAGAAACCATTTATTTTTCTAGATAAAGTGTAATTCACTGGAAAGCTTTTCTTCAATGGCCTTTTGTTCTGCGTGTGTGAGATTATAGACTTGAGTCTTGGGGGATGAAGACAGGATCAGACTTGGTTCATATCAAGGGCTGAATAGAAGGAGTATGAGAGATTCAGTGCAAATTTATTCAGCGGTCTGCTTTATTGCTGCTTGGGTTTAGTTGGTAATGTTTGAGAATTAGCAAGTGGAGCTGTTCTTCAATTATAGCAAATTTCCAAATTCAGCGTGCCTCTTTTAAGTGAATTGGATTAGGCCTGGAAACTGGTAGTCTAAGTGGAATTGTAGTAGGTAGAACTACAACTTTAACAATCTTTGGTCAGTGTGGCCATTGTACACAGAAGAAAATTGTTCCTGGAGAAAGATGATTTGAAGAATGGGATCATACAGTCTTAAACAGGAAGGAAAATCTATGTGTAGTGTGATAAGTATGGGTTGGCCTTTTAGCCGTCTATCTAGAGCACAATGCTGTTGCACTTCCTAGCTCGGTTAGGATAATCACAATCTGAAAGAGGACTGAGCATATTGATAACTGCCGTAACTACTTGTGGAGAAGGTAGTAGCCCCTCTTCAAGTATATGCTGTAATTACGAATATATATGGGAGTTTGGATGGTAGCCAACTAAGACCTGGCTTGCTGAACTGATTTATCGAATAAACCACAATTTGTTTAGGTTTATAAATTATGCTAAACTTTAACTCATGGTTTGCAAGCCACGTTAATTGGATTTCTGTCTCACGCTGAGCCTAAACCGAAACAATCAGATTATGACTGTACAGCAGGTGATCTAAATTTGTGAGAACTATTTTAGAATAATTTGTGAGAACTATTTTAGAATAATTTGTGAGAACTATTTTAGAATAATTTGTCTCTGATTATATAGTTCTTGACTTATTTGGTCTTCTCGATTCTTTCTTCCATGCGCCAAGTAACAATGGGTACTTTCATCTGCCTTTGTTGTGTGGAGCAGGCCAATTAAGGGCATAGGCTATATTGGTTAGATCTTTTACTGAAAGTGCAGCCTAGTCTTTACAGTGCCATATCTGGGCAACAGAAAGAGACCGGTTGAAGTTTCAGATCTAATGTATGTGGAGAGCCGGATTATAAAGGATCACTTTTAGCAAATAAGATCACAAATTGGGTCTAGGGGAATCTGGTGGGCTCAGAGACTTCCCCCCCTCCACTCCCCACTTGGCTCTCTGTTATTGTGTTGACAAAGGCAGAGCGGAGGCCCTGGCTCTATTGATAATTTACAACGTGGTCAGTATTTGTCTTAAGGATGACTCACAGCAGAAACTGGGTGAACTGAAAGAATTAGAACGGGAGATAAACACGGGATGGGAGTGAAGAGAGATTGGGGGAAGGGGTATATCAATAGAATTTTTATAGGAGGATCTTGAGACGGGAATAGAAATATCTTGGTAGGCTTGTGAGACAAAGAAAATTTAAGCATATGGGCCAGACGGTATGAACCCTTAAGAGCCTGATAAATTAAATCCATTATTTAAAGACCTATCTTACTTCTTGCAAGCTGTAAGTTTTCTGCGTGAGCAAGCAAAAGCCCATCTGCACATTATTCAGGACATTCGATGGGCCTGGATGTGATTCAGGATCAGCGAAATTCTGTTCAAGGATCCTTTTGATTTAAGACTTTCATTTCACCAGTCTCCATCTTCCTCGGCCGTTGTGGAACATTTGCTGAGTGTCTCTTCTTTCATTCCTCTTTAGACTAATGGATGTGTGCACAACCACCCGGACTGAACGAGAAACCAAAGTGACTCTGGTTTTTGAGCATGTAGATCAGGACCTGAAAGCCTTTTTGGAAAAAACACCGCCTCCTGGCTTACCCGCAGAAGTAATAAAGGTAAATCAGCCTTAGATTGATATCCAGTACTCTGTTCTGGGCTGATTGGTAAGAAATACAAGGAAACCTAAGCAGAGATGTCGATGTCACATGTTCTTCCCACCTCTCACCTCCAGGACATGATGCGTCAGTTTTTGAGTGGTTTGGATTTCTTACATTCGAATTGCATTGTTCACCGTGACCTTAAGCCAGAGAATATCCTGGTGACCAGCGCTGGGCAAGTCAAGTTGGCTGACTTTGGACTGGCCCGTATCTACAGCTGCCAGATGGCCCTGACACCATTGGTGAGTGCTGTCCAGATCTTATGGGAAAGAAAAAGGTCTGTTCCCGCTAAAGTACCATAGCTAAGATGGGAGATCCACGACGACGGGAATAAATCAGCTAATTATATCCCAATATTGTAGACTTCCAGCTACTAGAATCCCAAACTGTTACGTTATAATAGGGGTCCCCAGCTCTCGGACTGTGGACTGCCACTGGTACGTGGACCACCAGGAATTGGGCTGCGTGAGCGAGCGAAAGCCCATCTGCACGTGCGTGGAATCCAGGTAGCGTGTGAAACCACGCCCCCTGATCCCAGAAAAACTGCCCTCCATACAACCAATCCCTGGCATCCAAAAGGTTGGGGGCTGCTAGGTTATAACACCTAGTGACTGTTTCTACCTTTAGATATCTTTGCAGCTAATAGGACGGGCCTGCTTTGTTGCTGTTTTTTTTTTTTACTGTTGATAGTGGGAAAAGGAGTATTCCAGGGGTGACAACCTCAAGGCCTGCAGGCCGATCCCCCGGCCCTTGGGGTGCTTCGATCTGGCCCCGTGGGGCTGCCCTGGAAACAGAAAAGGACCAGCTTGTGGTGCCTCTGCCAGCGAAAACAGAGCTCAGGAGGACCGTATGCCCCCCCCCCCATCCGTTTTCGCTGCAGAGGGCTAGCAAAGCAAACTCAAAACAAAACAAAAGGAGAAATGTTTCCCCTTTTGCATTTGAGCAAGAAGGGACAGGAAAGGAAAAGATGAGAAGATGGGAAAAGAGCAAGGAAGCAAAAGTAAGGAAAGAAGAAGGAAGAGAGGGAAGGAAAAAGAGGGAGGGAGGAAGATTTTTATGAGAGGGAAGTCCTGTCTTAGCACTTGGCCATGCCCACCCCAGCTCCCCCCCCCCTGTTCCCCCAAGGTCAAACTCAACCTTGATGTGACCCTCAGTGAAATCGTGTTTGACATCCCTGGGGTATTCCTTAATCTCTGTGGTCTTGGTAGGCGTAACGGAAAGTAGCCTGGTGCCTCTGCAGATCTTCATTCAATATTAACAATATCCTTTCCAAACCAAAACAGATGCTTAGATGTCCTGGTAGGAATGGGGGAAGTGGGTAGTTTGGACTGAGTAGGAACTGTGACGGATGGAAGCCCAGGGAATAGGCAGGATGTTTTCTTATGGAACTTAGCCTCACCTCCAGCATGGAGCTTGAGTCTCCTTCTGTGGGCTTTTCTCCATCTTCATGCTTCTCGTGTTCTCCTCTCATCCAGGTGGTCACCCTCTGGTATCGTGCTCCCGAAGTGCTGCTCCAGTCAACCTATGCTACTCCTTTGGACTTATGGAGTGTGGGGTGTATCTTTGCAGAGATGTTCCGAAGGAAGTAAGTGGTTGAGGGGAAGGAAGAGGAAGGAGGTGTTGGGAAAACAAATCATGGAGGGTTGTAGCAGAGCTTCAGTTAGCTGATTTCAGATGGTTCCAAAGCAGTTGCATAGGTCCTCATAATGCCTGCAATTTCATGCATCTTCCTTCTCCCCAATTTTGAATCTTGCATTTTCTATTTATTAAAAAAAAACATTTCATGAGGTGGACTTTCCTCAGAATATCATTATAGGTGTTTATAGTATTGAGTCTGGGTGGGAATGATTTTTCAGGGTGTGCTTGGGTAAGCTGTCAACTTCGAAATGACCACGGCCGATGCCATATTTATTTTTTGCTTCGTTTCTTAGTTGCCACTCTTTTGGGGGAGGGGGGGGGAGCTAGAAAGAACTGGAATGCAGTGCCCGATCCCACTAGACCAGTGGTCACCAACCAGTGGTCCAGGGACCACTGGTGGTCCGCAAGAAAATTTTGGTGGTCTGCAGAGAAATGTCACCCCCCAAAGCAATTAATCCAGGCTGTGCGGGAACCACAAGGCTTGCATCGCTTACATTGCGAAGAGCATGAGGTAGTGAGGGGAGGGGGGAAAGGGCGGAGGGGGGGAACTTGCCCCACTCCCCCGATGCGCCTGGCCTGGCCACTGAGCTGCCTCTTTCCACTTCTTTCTTCTTCTGCTTTTGGCTACACACAAGGAAGGCAGCAAAAGTCTTTCTTTCTCTCCCCCAAACTCTGCAGAAATGAGTCTTTGGGGCCCTGCAAGGCATCTTGCTCCAAGAGGCTGCGCTGGCGCGACAGGCCTCACAAAGACTCATTTCTGGTGTAGTTTGGGGGAGAGAAAGAAAGACTTCTGCTTCTGCTGCTTTCCTTGCACAAAGCCAAAAATCTGTCTCTCTCTGTCTGTCTGTCTATCTGTCTGTCTGTCTGTCTGTCTGTCTCTCTCCCTCCCTCCCTCCCTGCAATCCCAAATAAAGAATGATCCATCGGTAGGAAAACAGGGTGGGGGGGATTTTCCTGCAGACTTTTTTTTGGGATTTTCCCAGGGTCTCTGGTCCCTGGGATTTAAAATTATGAGATTGGTGGTCCCTGAGGTCAAAAAGGTTGGTGACCCCTGCACTAGACAAAATATCCATCAGGCGCAGCGCCACAACGAACATCTGATAAGGGGAAGATCCTGCTGGACTGATTGGTTAACGTGACCCATGACACCTGGGGGTTGTGGGGTGGGATGTTTCTATTCTCTTTATTACTCTGAAGCGTGGGAATTACCCAGAGCTAGCTTCAAGTAGGCTATACTCAATAAAATGGAGCTTCCTGAATGGAGCTTCCGAGTCCTGATTCAATTGGGCTCACTGCTCAGAACCATGACATAAGCCAGAGGTCCCCAAACTCGGCAACTTTAAGACTTGTGGACTTCAACTCCCAGAATTCTCCAGCCATCAGAGCTGACTGGAGAATTCTGGGAATTGAAGTCCATAAATGTTGCCAAGTTTGGGGACCCCTGAGAAGCCTTTGGTGAGGGTGTTGCATTTGCATATGCTGTGCCTCCTTTTTCCACAGCCTTAAGGACAGAATGAGATAATTTGAAACGAGGGGAAGATTGATAAAAGAAGGGATAATAAAAAGAATGGTTGGAAGAGAGGCCAGCAGCAAGGCAAGGCCTGACCCAGGGCATGTTCTGTCTTCCAAGTAGACTCACGGCCTGCCACCTTTGCTGTCCTTGTGTCAGAGCAGAGTTGGTGAATATACTTTTTTGCTAGCACATGATCCCAGTCAGCAGATGGGAAACAATAGATTAAGGCTTGGCCTGCCAGAATTCTGTCTTGCTTATCTTTCAGGCGAAGGATTGATAGGGAGGAGCCAGTGACCTGCTCTTGTTCTCCTTAGGCTCCCCTTTCAAGAGAAGATAGGATTAGGGAGACTACAGAGCCTGAAATCATCTTGCATGTAACTTACGTTTGAGGGTAACTTAAGGGTAACTTCCCCCACCCCCAAAATAATAATAATAATAATAATCACAAGTCACACAGATTCACGTGCTTAATCTCTTCACTGTGGAGTTTAAAAATGTTCCGGCTGCAGTGAGGAGGAAACAGACAAGTTTACAAAAATCCCCGTTTTAATTAAACAGGTTTTTTTTTTGCCAGTTTTTCTCTCCATTCTTAAGTGAGTTAAAGTACTGCTGCCTTCATTTGCATAAGGGGGAAAAAATGCCCATCCGTTATTTCTATAGGTTGTGGTATTTGAAGTGTGCAGGTTTGCTCTGGAATCAAATCGGGTCTGATTATTTTGACCATGTTTCCGAACTAGAATTGTTCAAATCGGGGTATACATAACTTGGGAATGTATTTCTCACTACTTACATAATTTGCTCTCATAAATTTCTTCTGGCCAAATTCAAGAGTGAAGCCAACAGAAAAGGCTTCCTTTGCAGCACGTACCACATGAATAGTTCATTACTGGATTTCATCCAACAATCTTCAGTTTACTGCCACTTAAAAGTAAAAAAAGTTCTGAGCTGATTTTGCAACAGACGGTATTATTTACATCCTTGGATGCTAAGGGTTTTTATCTGGGAGGGGTGTATTTTGTGAAACACAGCAGATGTCCAAAATTCTACAGTTGGGATATTCTCCTTTACTTCCAAACAGCATCTCTGGACTATAAACAAGCATAAAATAATAGGCACTTATTCTCATAATAGAATAAGAATAAGAAAAGAATTTAGAATAGAATAGAATAACAGAAGGGACCTTGGAGGTCTTCTAGTCCAACCCCCTGCCTAGGCAGGAAACCCTACACCACTTCAGACAAAGGGTTATCCACCATCTTTTAAAAAACTTCTAGTGTTGGAGCATTCACAACTTCTAGAGGCAAGTTGTTCCTAATTATTTCATTCCTGATAGTTAGAAATAATGTACCCCCAAATGTCAGATAGCCCAAATTTCATATTCTTAAAATTCGACAAATGTATCTGTTTTACCAGATGTGAGCAGCCCCTGCCTTATTCTAGGGTATTTTGGAAACAGAAAGCAGAAAGTTACTAAAATAGCGGTCTTTGTGACAGTTTCCACATGTTAGCAAATAGATAATACAGTGTGGGTCTCTTCTGAAGAAACCGTACTTCTTCTTATGCTACTTAACATGCAAATGGCACAATGAAGTTATTCTACTATTCGGTTTGTGGATTCACAAGATGGTCTTTATGTCATCCTATATCAGCTTTTTAAGGAAGCTGTTAGAATCTAACCTGACAACAGAGATACTAAATCAGGAAGTAAATGGTGCGGGTCTTTCTTTCTTTTTTTCCTGACCTTCGGTTCAGTATGCATATTCTGTGTCAGTACATTACTTGGTCCTTTTCAAGAGCTAAACATCTGTGAACATTTGTCCTGTATGTTTTTATTCCTTTTCAAGCTTTTTTCTTCTTGTATAATATTGATCTTAATTTTTTTTAAATTAACTACGTTTATGTTTTCTGCATGGCTGGCTTGTAAATTCTGGGAATTGAAGTTTACAGATCGTAGTTCCCCATCCCTGGTATATCTCTTACAAAACTTGAGGATAAATTGACTCTTCGAATTTCAGTTAAAAAAAGTAAATGATTTATAGAATTGTGATCTCACCATAGAACACATATACAGTATTATTCAAGTATATTGAATCAAAGTGTTGATGTGAAAGAGACAGATACATAATTTTATGTAAATGATAGTTAACTAAATCGTATGTTTACAGAAGGATTTTGATGTTTCTGCCTGATTTAAGTCCATTCCAATATAAAGAAAATATTACAGATTTATTTTCTAGATGGATAATTAGTTTCTCATTGGTTATGATTTGTTTTTGATTGAAACTTCATTATAAAGAAAATGAAAAGCCACTCTTTTCTGGCAACCTAAAATTATAATAAATATAATTTTGCAAAGAATAATTAGATCAAGTAAATTCAAATTAAATTTCTCTTTTATAAGATTGCTTATTCGAGAGGGGAAGGCACTATCCTCACTCTTAGAAAAGCAGGAAATTTGTTTTCTTATATCCAGCTGAAAATGAAATCTATTCATATTTTGAATACTTTTCATTGTCAGAAAGTTTATAATCAGTAAGTGTGTATTCTTACAGATAGTCCGCAATGATGGTTATTGGGGCCTGAATTTTGGTTACTAAGCTTCATTGTGGTCATAAAGCATGACATTGTGTGACTGCATCTCTAAGTGATGTTAATCCTGGTTTACTGTTGTTAAGTGAGGATTATGTGATGTTGAGCGAAGACCTCATTGATCATGATATGTGACTGCCTTTTGACTTCCAACTAGCAAAATCAGTGGGAAAGCTGGCAGGAATTTTCAAGTCCCAGGCCCAATAAGTTTTGCCTTACAAGGAGGCCGGCAGGTGGATGAGACTATTGAGTGTGGCTGGGCTGGTGGGTGCTGACATTGTAATTTTGAACAGTCGGTGAATGAGTTGCTGTAACCATGGATTACCCGTATAGCCCTTTATTGTTGATATGATAATCTGTCAAAGTCCATATAATTTCTAGCAGAACTACCATAGAAACATTACAATGTTTTCTCTGATTGGCTGAGTAGTATTGCCTGGCCTCATGTTATTTAGTAATTGTGCCTCTTTATAAGGTTGGGTTTAGTCAATTCTGTGCCTGCTTCCCATCAGTTCTTGTTTTACTAAATCAAGAAAGAGAATCGTACTTTGTATCTGCTCAGTTGGTAATTGGGTAATTTTATTATTATAGAATTCATATTTAAGGCATTTATTTTCTAATATATTATTTTCTGGATCGTTAGCAGGGGTGTACCTGAATTTCAAATTTGAACTATTTGAAGATTGAGACACCCTTACCTGAATGTAAAAATAACCTGTTTTTGGTGTGAAATGGGCAGTCCTGGTCATTTTGGAAGTATGTTGAGCTTAGACCCTTCCAGAACGATCCAAGGAACCTTGTTGTGCACTTTAAATGTCCACTCAAGAGAGTGATATGGACACTCC